ATAGTGAATCCATGAGAACTAGCACTAAGATGAGATCACCGAAAAACGAAGACTAGTGAATCCATGAGAACATAAACTAAAACTCTAAGATAGAAAACATTTTTTCTGCTACTGACTCTCAATCTTAACGCAACGACTGAAAGAAGTAACTTTTCATAGTTTACCTCTGACTTCTGCATTAGCCGTAGGCTATTTTTGGACTTTATTTAAACTTTATTTTGAAAACGTAGTTACCCAATGGCTTTTGGATATTTATTTAAAATAATAAAGTCACAAAAATGAAAATAGTGAATGAACTTAATTAAAAAAAAGTTCAACTGGCTTGGCTTATCAGGAAAGGACAGGTCTGAGAGATAGGTAATGCCTGCAGGCTTATAATGTAAACAACTTTGACTTTTTTTGTGGCAACTTGTTTTGGTGATGATGAGTAGTGAGTAAAAAGGAATTGAGAAATGAGGACTTTTATTGAAGACAACCTTACCACTGGTTTCCCGAGGTTCCAATCTGAAGACCATTAGAAAGTTTCCAATACTGTGGGAGGCTGACAGTTCTCAAGGCCTTTGCATCCCTTGCTTTATTACATATGATCAACACTAATAAATAAGTGCAAGTAAATGGGGCCTGTTATGGAGAATAGGTGCTGTGCACATTTGGAGATTCTCTTGAGTAGCGAATTTTGGACTAAGTTAAACTGGAAAAGAATATGTAAGTACAGTAGAAGACTTTCTGAATTGGGAAGCAAGTCATTTCTCACACTTTTTTTTTTTTTTTTTTTTTGCGTCGGAGTCTCACACTGTCTCCCAGGCTGGAGTACAGTGACACACTCACAGCCACTGCAGTCTCAACCTGCTGGGCTCAGGCGATCCTTCCGGTGTAACCTTCCAAGTACCTGAACTACAGGTGCATGCTACCACGCCCGTCTAATTTTTTGATTTATTGTAGAGATGAGGTCTCACTGTGTTGCCCAGGCTGGTCTCAAACCCACGTGCTCAGGCAGTCCTCTCGCCTTGGCCTCCCAAGGTGCTGGGATTACAGGCTTGAGCCACCTTGCCTGACCCTCTTTTATATTTAATACCAAATCATGAACATCATTATTATAAAAAAAGGTATTCATAAAAAGGCTGATAGAATTAAGCCAGTATAACTTAGCCAGACTAGATCTAGGTCCATCTATATGGGGTATTGGAAAATTTCAGTCAAAATATGCCTCCAAATTTATTTAGCAAATTGCTGAAGCATAAGTTTGTAAATTTTCCAGATATTTCCTCAACTTTGGAATTATGGTTTTGTTTTTTCACTCAGTCTGTAGAAACAAAGTTACAACTAAGGTAGTTGGTGAATGCTATGAAGTTCATTTTTTCCAAGTATAGTTTTATGTTTTTATCAATGTATGTGTTTATGGTTTTTAAATATCAATTAATATTTAAAACTTAGCAGTATTTATTTAGTGGTGGAAATTATTTAGTGGTACAAATGTAGTCCCTATGTTTGTGCAGTATGCACTTGAAAGTCATTTAGTTCTGAGATGTTCACCTTTGAGAAATTGCATTTTATGAGAACAGGGAGCTCTACTTCCCACATGTAGTAGGGTTTTATTCTACTTCTCTAGAGTTGAATCAGTAATAACCCTTATGGTTTTGAAAATATACCGAAATCTCTAAGATCTACAGAATGATCAGTTTACCTGAGTTATCCTAAATTTAAACAATGAAGCCACTCACCCTTGTTTTTTCTTACTTCCCACATGAGAATACGTGTTAACTTTTCCTTCCTTTTTCTTTAGAAGTTTGATTTAAAGTATTATAATTACTCTCACATATTTAGCCTTAATAATAATAATAATTATTATTATTATTTTTGAGATGGAGTCTCACTCTGTCACCCAGACTGGAGTGCAGTGGCTGCTCCCAGCCACCGTAGCCTCAACTTGCTAGGCTCCGGTGATCCTTCCGCCTCAGCTTTCCAAGTAGCTGGAACTACAGGTGTGCGCTACCATGCCTGGCTAATTTTTTTTGTTTTGTTTTTTGATTTATTGTAGAGATGAGGTCTTGCCACGTTGCTCAGGCAGGTCTTGAACCTGCGGGCTCAGGCGATCCACTTACCTCAGCTTCCCAAAGCGTAGGATTACAGGCTGAGCCACCGGCAGCCTTAATAATTATAAAAATAACGTTTACTTTTTTTTTTTTGAATTGGAGTCTCACTCCATCGTCCAGGCTGGAGTGCAGTGGCATGCTCACGGCCACCCCAGTGTTGACATTCTGGGCTCAGGCGATCCTTCCACCTCAGCCTTCCAAGTAGCCAGAACTACAGGCATGCGCTACCACACCTGGCTAATTTTTTTGATTTATTGTAAAGATGAGGTCTTGCCAAGTTGCCCAGGCTGGTCTCGAACCACTGGGCTCAGGCAGTCTTCTCACCTCAGCCTTCCAAAGTGCTGGGATTACAGCCTTGAGCCACCGCTCCCGACCTGATAACATTTGCTTTATTTATAGGTATTTCTGTTTTCAAATGAAGAATACTAGTGAAAATATTTTATGTACTGCCTTTCACTTTGCAGCTGATCGGAGATAAGGGTTCTACATATAAATGGAGATTATTTCCCCCCCTAAGTTTTTTCAAATTCTTGTCTGAGCTAATTGGACTAAAGTACAGATTGGGACTAAATTTCTGTTATGTCAGCTGAGTTCTGCAAATATCTCTGTGCCACCCAGGTGTTAAGTAAGATACTGTAAATGCGTCCAGGCACTGTGGCTCATGCCTATAATCCCAGCAATTTGGAGGCAGAGGTGAGAGGACTGCCTGAGCCTACGGGTTCAAGACCAGCCTGGGCAACTTGGCGAGACCTCATCTCTACAGTAAATCAAAAAATTAACTGGGCATGGTGGCACACACCTGTAGTTCCAGCTACTTGGAAGGCTGAGGTGGAAGGACTGCCTGAGTCCACGAGGTTGAGGCTGCGGTTGCTGTGAGCATGCTACTGCACTCCAGCCCGGGCTACAGAGTGAGTCTCCCAACTCAAAAAAAAAAAAAAAGACACTGTAAGTAGAGAAGAGAGGAAGACATATTAAATAAATAATTAAAATCTTTTGTCATTCATGTAGTATTAAAAGTATATACTTAAGGCAAAGAAGTGCTTCTAAAGGAGAGAGTAATTACTTCTGTCTAGGTAGGAGGTCAAGAATAGGGATGGGAGATATGGAAGGCTCCATAGAGAGGCTGATGTCTGAGTAGAGTTTTGAAGAACAACTTGTCATGGACAAGGTGTATAAGGACATATTTTCAGACAAGTCACAGGATTGTTGAATAGTTGATATGTTTGGGGAGCTAAAAGTAGTTGGATGTGACTGAAACATAGAGTGAAGGACAGCAGGGCAGAAAGCTGGAGAGGTATGTCAGTGTAATTGTCAGTGGACATTTTTTTTTTATATTACAAAGAAAAGAAATAGCCCATCATAAAAAAAGAACAGGCAAATGTTGATCTTTAGAAACTTGTTATATTGGCTATAGAAATTGTTTTTGCTTTGAGAGAACTTGATGCTGGGCGTGGTGGCTTGTGGCTTACGCTTGCAATCCCAGCACTTTTGGAGGCGGAGGTGAGAAGATTGCCTGAGTCCAAGGGTTTAAGACCAGCCTGAGCAACTTTGTGAGACCTCATCTCTACAATAAATCATAAAATTAGCCAGGCATGGAGGCACATGCCTGTGGTTTCAGATACTTAGAAGACAGAAGCAGAAGGATCACCTGAATGTGCCATTGCACTCTAGCCTGAGCGACAGAGTGAGACTCCTAATTAAAAAGAGAGAGAGAGAGAGACAACTTGACTTCAAAATATGTGATTTTCACATAACTAAATTATCAAATGCAACAGTAATTTTTTTTTTGAAACATGATAGGAATGGAAAGAATATTTGTGCAACATTGTGTTGATACTATACTTACTTGGAATATGAGGCAGAGAGGATCTTAGATAAACTTACAGGTTTGCATAAAGAGAAATACAAAGATGTTTATTGCACATTGTTTCCATTAGCAAAAAACGAAACTAAATGCCATCAACAGGAGAGTAGAGTGTGGAGTATTCAGTTAATGGAATATTTTCTTTTTCTTTTTTTTTTTGAATTGGAATCTCACTCTGTCACCCAGGCCAGAGTGCAGTGGTACACTCATGGCAACTACAGCCTCACCCTGCTGGGCTCAGGTGATCCTTTCACCTCAGCCTTCCAAGTAGCTGGAATTATTGGCATGCACCACCATACCGGCTAATTTTTTATTTATTGTAGAGATGAAGTCTTGCCAAGTTGCCCAGGCTGGTCTCAAACCCATGGGCTCAAGCAAACTTCTCACCTCAGCCTCCCAAAGTGCTAGGAGTATAGGCGTGAGCCACTGTGCCTGGCCTGAAATATTTTGAAATGAATAAGCTGGATGTATTAACGGGTATATCTCTAGACCAATGTTGAACCAAGTGCAGTTGCATAATGTGACATATAAGTATGCTGTGGTTAGATAAGTTTTAAACTAGGCAAGACAAAACTATGTACAGTTTATAGATATATACATATATGCTAAACTTATAAAAATGCATGGAGTAATAAATATAGTATGTTTCTGGGGAGAGAGGGAGGAGATGGGATTATAGTGGGGTAACAGGTGACTTCTGCTGTATATGTAGGAATATATTGTATATATGTTCTTTAGTATAATAACCTAAACTAAATATGGCAAAATATTAAACTTTGTGAAAGTTGGGTAGTGGGTACATAAGTGTTTTGTTATTCTTGACACTTTTTTGAAAACATAAGTAGGTCAGAGATGATGATGGATAGAGGCATGAACAGTTAGCTGTAAAAATTGTTATCCAGGTTAAAAATGGGCATGGCAGATGCAGAAGTCTCCACAAAAGTAGGGGATACTTGAGAAGAGTGTCGGTGAATATTAAGTAGAGAGAGTTGGGATGAGGACTGAATGAGTCTAATGATTTCTCTTGATTTTTTTTTTTTTAGAGAAATATGAAACGCAATGGAAGCAGAAATTGTTTAAACAGGAGAAGTAGGTTTGGTTCTCGAGAAAGAGACTGGCTAAGAGAAGATGTGAAGAGGGGCTGTGTTTACCTTTATGGAGCAGACACCACCACTGCCACTACAACCACCACCGCCGCCTCCTCCTCTTCCTCCACCTCCTCTTCTGACTTACATCTTGTTCTTTGCACAGTAGATACACCAGCATCAGAAATATGTGCTGGAGAGGGAAGAGAAAGTCTTTATTTACAGCTTCATGGAGACCTGGTCAGGTGAGGTGTGAGTTTTACCATTCTAATTCTACTACAATATAAGTAATATGTTTCTGCTTAGAAGTAGACTTTAGGATTTCGATTATGCTGGAACTGATGTTAGTTATGGAGTCACTAGGCTTCAAAAACGATTTGTCCTTGAAATGCTGACTTTATGATTTTGAATTTTAAAACTATTGATGAAGGAAAATTTCAGAGTCCTTTCTTTGGGATACACTATAGGTCAGGTATTTAAATTTAAAATAAGTATTTTTAAAGTTAATTTTTTTAAAAAGTATAAATAGAATGAAATTGAAGTATATGAAAGGGTATAGAATGAGTACTGCCAGGTGCAGTGGCTCAAGCCTGGAATCCCAGCACTTTGGGAGGTGGAGGCAAGAGGATTGCCTGAGCTCAGGTTCAAGACCATCCTGGGCAACATGGCGAGACCTCATCTCTATAATAAATAAAAAAATTAGCCAGGCATAATAGCACATGCCGGTGGTTCCAGCTACTTGGAAGGCTGAGGCAGAAGGATCACTTGAACCCAGGAGGTTGAGATTGCAATAGCTGTGAGCGTGCTACTGCACTCCAGCCTGGGCAACAGTGAGACGCTGACTCAAAAAAAAAAAAGTGAGAAGTACTTTTCTCTCTCCTATTCCCTAACTACCCAGACCTTTTCATGAAGGCATTTGTTATTACCAGTTTCTTATGCATCCTCAGAATATTCTAGGTGATTATAAACATGTATATACTCATGCATGACAATCTCAATATGTCACTTTAAAAACTAATGACCTAGCCAGGCTCGGTGGCTCAGCTTGTAATCCTGCGCGTTGGGAAGCTGAGGTGAGTGAATTACCTGAGCCTGCGGGTTCGAGACCCACCTGGGCAACTTGGCGAGACCTCATCTCTACAATAAATCAAAAAATTAGCCGGGTGTGGTAGCACGCGCCTGTAGTTCCAGCTACTTGGAAGGCTGAGGTGGAAGGATCGCCAGAGCCCAGCAGGTCGAGTCTGCGGTGGCTGGGAACCGCCACTGCACTCCAGTCTGAGCAACAGAGTGAGACTCCAACTCAAAAACAAACAAACAAACAAAAACGAATGACCTTATATGCAACACATTATTGACTTTATATCTCTTAGAGAGCTTTCCATTTAAATACTTACTATAATTGTCATTTAACGTATTCCATGGCCATTGCCTTGCTAGAGTCTGGTGTGACCATGTGCTCTTTGAGCTATGGCCGGCCAAGTTTCTTAAACTCTGGCCCCCTCTCCTACTTTGGAGAGATGAATCCTCTTGCTCTCTCACACTTACTTTCCAAATAAACTATATTTTCTAATCTAAAAAAAAATTTATTTAATTTTAGTCTGCCATAATTTTAGTCATTCTCCTCTTAATGGACATTCAAATTGTTACTTTTTTTACTATTAAAAACAGTGCTGCAGTGAATATCCTTGTACCTATGATATCTCGTGTGTGAGTCTATTTATACGATAAGCTGCTAGAAGTAGATTTGCTGGGTCAAAGGATATGAGCATTTATGATTGAGATTGCAATAGCTGTGAGCGTGCTACTGCACTCCAGCCTGGGCAACAGTGAGACGCTGACTGATAGATATTGTCAAATTCCTCTTCATAGAGGTTATACTTCCATCAAAAATATAAAAGTATACCTCTTTCCCTCTTACTTTCTCAAAAACATGTTGGTATTAAATTCCATATATGAAGAGAGACACATATACACGCCTGAGTTAATACCTGTTTGTAAATAGAAATGATTCCTAGTAGTTTTTAAATGAGAGAATCATAAAGTCAACATTCCAAGGAGAAGTCTTTTTCTAAGCCTAGTGACTTAGATATTTGCAAATTTGCTAAGAATTTTGTTGTTTTAATTTTTTATTTTTTTAATGAGTGAAGTTGAGCATATTTTCATGGGGTTAAAAGTCATTTGTGTGTGTCTTGAAAATTTGTATATAAATGTGAAAAAAGTGTGCTTAAAGTGGTCTTATACTATGGATAGGAACTCTCATTCAGGTTTTTAAGAAATCAGTTTTAGTTCTTTGAATTAGATGTCTAATAAGAATTCTTTAAATGCCTGACCATCATTTTTCCCTCCACTCCCTTTCCTGTAATATAGAAGAGTTTTAAAACAGAGTTCAAAACTGTGGATTCAATACTGCTGAATGTGAGAAAGGAGGCTTTTCTTTACACCTTAAAAGTGTGATAATAATAGTAACACATTTAGGGGAGCTAAAATTTGATGTCATTTTAAAAGTCTAAACTGAGGTTTATTATGTGTTCCTTTTAGGATTTATACTAATTCCTGAAAAAGTAGATTAGCATTTGAATATTTTCCTTGTTCACCAGTTAACTACATTTGCTAAATCCATTTGTAAAACAAAGGATCAGACAGGGTGATCCTTAGGCTTTTCTAAATCTTAACACTGATTCCGATCTAATTTTATCAGGTGGAAAGCCTTGACCTAGATTATAGCTGATTGAGCATGTGACTTACTTTTTAATGTAGTAATGTTTATGTATTCAAATATATTAGAAATGTGGAGAAAATCCCACATTTCAAACTGGGATTTGCTTGCTACTACTAGTTGTGTAATTAGTTAAGAATCTAAATACGATATAGTTTATTTACTTCAGTGAATCTAAATGGTACTTAAAGTGAGGAGTTTGTTTCTTTTGTATCCTTGATCATTTATAATGTAATAGTTCTTTGAAGATACAATTGATTAGAAAATAATGAAAACACTATTGAACTGTGGTTTGAAAGAATGAATAGGCCATTACTTTGCTAGACTCTGGTGTGGCCTTGTGCTCTTTGAGGTATGGCTGTTGCCAGGTTTCCTGGCTTTGGCCCCCTGCCCCACCTTGGGGAGTGAATCTGCTCTTTCTCTCTCTCTCAAATTTACTTTTAAATAAACTATGTTTTCTAATAGAAAAAAAGAATATATTTTAATTGTTGGAGTAGGAGTTCAAGAACTTTTATGCAACTAAGGATGATGATAATAGAGATCAGCTAACTAACATTAAGTGGTTTCTTGTGCTAGTCAGTATGCTTACTATGCACATTTTCTCATTAAATCCTCACAGTAACTCCAAGGGAGATAGTATCATTCCTTTCAGATGAGGAAAATTGAGGCTTTGAGAGCGGTCCAGTAACCTGCTCAAGGTCAGGCAAATGGAATGCCTGAATCATTCAAGGTAGATGGTGGACTTTGTTCTGAGTAAAGGCCCTTCCCAGGAGGATCTGGCACAGCAGTGTCCCTTCCTTGGTTTCACTATTTAATCATACTTCAATATCTTTTTTAGATTGCTTACTCAGCTGTTAATTGCATGTGTTCAGTCTTGTATTTTCTAATCAGAGGAGTAGGTACTTTCTTCATAATAGCCCTTTATAAGATAGTTGACAATCTAAGGCATTATCTTTTAAAATAAATTTTGTTGTTGGGCATGGTGGCTCACACCTATAATCCAGCACTTTGGGAGGTAGAGCCAAGAGGATTGTTTGAACCCAGGGGTTGTAGACCAGCTTGGGCAATTTGGCGCGACCTCATCTCTACAATAAATCAAAAAATTAGCTGTGTGTGGTGGTGCATGCCTGTGCTTCCAGCTGCTTGGTAGGCTGAGGTGGAAGGATTACCCAAGCCCAGCAGGTCGAGGCTGCAGTGTCCATGAGCATGCCACTGCACTCCAACCTGGGCGACAGAGTGAGACTCGAACTCAAAAAATAAAAAATAAAATGAAATAAATTTTGTTGATGTTAGGTTAAAATATATTCCTGTGGGGCCTCCAAATGTTAGGTCAGACCTACTGGGATGGGATGTGTGATTCAATGCCACATAAAAGATGCAAATAATTGCACAGGAGTTAGATCAGGAGATATAGTTTATTTAGAAAGTAAATTAGAGAGAAGAGAGAGAGATTCACCTCCCCAAGGTACAGGAGGAGGCCAAAACTAAGAAACATGGGGATGGGAGAGGGAGAGGAGAGAGAGAAGAGA